TGGAATGCGCTTGCATAGCTCCAGGCTCACACGGAGACAGTGGCAAAAGGGCCTGGCAAACCCCCAAAATACCGCTCAAGGTCCTCATTGTCCGATAAGGTCTGGGCGCGCCTACTGACGAGCACGGAGGCCTGCGGTTCCCGCCCTCGACCTCGCATTTCACCTCGATATACTCACCGATAAGGGCCATTGTAGTGCATCTTCAACAACCCCCCCCCCCCCCCCCCCCTTTCTTCCGACGGCTCGCCCAAACAGGAAGTTCCAATCTGCATGCCGTGTCCCGGAAATAGACCCTTTAAGCACGTTGCAACCATCTTGCAACCGCTTGTGACTGATTGCGACGAGGTACCACACTGACGTTATCTATTGGCTTGCCCTGGAACGACTCTGCTTTTCGTGTAACTAAACTGGAGGTTTTACGGTTTTCAACGGTATATCTATGAGGAACAGCCACTTGTATATGTTATAATAACACAGTCAGAATTGACGCGTGAAATTTTCGGTCAGAAAAAAAAAAAGGTGTATTTTTACACCCTTTGTCCCATATAAGACACCCCAAAATTTCAGTTCTACGTACACCGCACTGATTTCGAACCGACGGCACTAACTTTCACGAGAGGCTTGATAGCCGTGTGGTACAACTTATTAAAATAGCTAATCTACATGTTAATGACTACCCCAAAAAAATAATAATAATCGGGGTTTTCTTGGCCCTACTGCAAAACCTCAGTGTTTTCTTTCCGTGGCCTTTGATACGTACTTTAGCTATTTTAATAAGTTATATCACACCGTTATCAAGCCCTTCGTAAAATTTGGGGCCCTCTGTTCGAGTATAGGGCGCAGTACGTCGAAATGAAGTTTTCGGGTGCATTAGATGGGACAAAAAGGTGTAAAATTACACCTTTTTTTAATTTTTTCTTTAGAGTGTACTTCCGAATGTGTGGGCCACCAGGAGTGTAGCTGTCGGTATTAAAATGTTTCGTCTATACTATCACACCATCGTGCTATCAAAGGAAGCTCTGACACCGTACAGGCGACCACGGCAGAAACGTACAGCCCTTTGCATTCGTCACTGCAAAACGAAGTCAAATCCATCCATCAAAAACATAAAGCTCTGCAGCCTTCAGAGTTGATTGAAAAAAAAAAAAAATCAAATTTCCATTGGTGTTCTTAATATGTCACAAAGGGAACTTGCTATGTGCACACGGTACTTAGTTACCGGTATCGACTTTCCTGCCATAATTGCATTTCAGGATTTTTTTTTTTTTTTCTGTGGATAGTTGCAGACAAATGCGCGTCAAATAACATTTCTGGCGCGTCGACAAGGAAAAAAAAAAAAACAAAAAAACACCTCAAATATATAATTAATTATTATTCGGCGCTTGTATACGTGAATGTGGGTGAAAAAAAAAAAAAAAACAGTAATATTTCGCGGAAGATGTGATTTTGGGTTTTAGGATGTTTTATTATTCTTGAATGTTTATGTTTCATGTATAAAAATAATTCCTGCCGGTTACGATCGCGAAATTAGTAAAATACGCATTTCAAGATCTCCAGGCAACCCAGAACGGAATGAATTCGAGCCTTTTTTTCTCAGCGTGGTCCTCGAGTTGTGACGTCACCCGCCATTACATTTACGTTGACAAGCAGGCCTACCCGCATCCTCTCCATTGCAGTTTTCTGGAGCTTCAATTTCTCACGGAAATTTATTAACGAAATATTATGTTCCGCGTCGCGAAAAAGAGCATATAGCAACAGATCTATATGCGGTAACATTCGAACGCGTTTTTCTTTTAATGTGATTGTGTGGCATCTTCACAGTTTGTGCGCAAGAATTTCTGCTCTTAATATTGCCCTATCACAACCAAATTTGGCATGCATATACTTTCGAATATGTAGAATGCCACAAATATATCTAGGTTTGGTAAGAATGTTTTTTTTTTTTTTTTTTTTTTTATGTTTATGGGAAATTTAAGAAACTTTTTTTAGCTCCTTGAACTGTTATTTTTGCTCTTTAAATATATTAAAATGGAGGAAGCGTCGCACAAATTATTTTTGTTGTTCATTGCATTCAGTGTTTTCAAGGGAGCGAATTTGTTTATTTTGTGCGTTGCCATGCCTCACGTGTGCACAAGAAAACGTTTTCTTTTTCTGCATGCTCATTCCATCAACCTAAAAAAAAAAAATTGCTGTAGCAAATCTAACATCACATTTATAAAGAAACATTTAAGCACCATAAAATGTAAAAATTTAATTTCGACATCATAAATAATATTATTAAAAACTTTTCCCCTGGTGCATGTCCCTTTGACCTACTTCCTCAGAAAGTAGGACCCTCAAGGGGTTTGGAATGGCGCCTTTCGCACAGGTAGGCGCATAGCATTCTGCACCCTACGACTCCAGTCTGCGTACACAACGAAGGACCACCACGCCGAGGTTAGAATCCCAAAAGAGCCAGGGTTCTAACCCCAAAGAGAAAGGTGTGAACACAGAGCAGCGAGCTTAAATCCCGAACAGTTAGGTTCGATTTTTAAAGAGCCGGGTTCGATTCCCAAAGAGTCGGCGTTTGAATCCCAGAGGAGCTCTCGGACGTTAAAAGGAAGTATTTAAACCCCCAGTGGTGAGTGTTTGTAACGTGGCAATGCACCCTCAAGGCCACAAATCCTTTGGGATAGAGCATTTTTGCGCAGGTAGACGCGTAACAATCCACACCTTCCTGTCTAACTACACAACGAAGGGCCCCGAGTCGACGTTCGAATCCCAAAAAGCCTGGATTCTGACCTCAAGAATAAAGGTGTTGAACACCAAGCAGCGAAGTTCAAACCCCAGACCATTCAGTTGAAACATCATTGCAGAGCTGGGTCCGACTCCCAAGGGAGCTCTCAGAAGATAAAGTGAAGCATTTACAGCTCCCAGTGGTGTAATGTTTTACCACTTTGGGGAATACGCCCTCGAGGGAAAGAGTATTACAGGTAGGCGCGCAACACCCCGCACTTCCCAGTAATACGTACAAGACCACTGTAACACGACGGACTATATACAGAGCCGAGGTTCGAAATCCCAAAAGGACGAGGGCTGCAACCCCCACTAGGACGGTGCGAATACCAAGCAGCGAGGTTAAAAACCCAAACAGTTGGATTGGAATACCACCAAAGAGCCGAGTTCGAACCCCAAGGGAGCAAGCGGTTGTAACCTCGACAACTCGCTCAGTGCATGCGAGTAGTGCGTGTGGTCTGCGATCCGTCCATCCATCGCCAATTTGTGTTGTAACAAGCTTTGCTAAGGTCGAAGTAAACACAGGCACCCGCCCACTCATCCGGTCGCCCGACGCCGAAAGTCGTTGGGCTTGTTATACCGAGAAAAAGGATGGACCGAAAGCTACGTTGAATAACACTGAAACATTGACCTCGAGAGAAAGAAACAAGGCTCAGAAAGAAACAAATTGATGCTTTCAAGTTCATACACGCAGACACGCGCAAACAAACTTTGCATCGTGAAAAAAAAAAAAAAAAATATATATATATATATATATTTTGACCCTCGCTACCTTTATAGTATTAGGTAAATCGAAAGCTAAAAGCAATTTGTGAACATTTCTAATGAGACAGAGTAAAAACGCGAATTTATCAATCCATCTTGAGAAATGTGCCATATGAAATATCATGTTCCGAACTCGATTTTGACCCGCATGGACTGGACCATGAACTGGACACATCTAGAGACGTGTGTTTGTGTTCTCGCTCGTTACCAGCATAAAAGTACACTTGAAAATCACGCTCTGACGCGCAAGCAACAAACGACCACACAAAGAGACATAAAAAAGAACTGTCAACGGAACATTCGTTTAGCTGATACGGTCCATTGCAACCGACGACAAACGAAAAAGAAATATAACAAATAAACGGTCTACATTAAATGTGCTTGTAGCTACATCAACAAACATCTAAAAAAAAAGAAAAGAAAGATGTATTTTAAGTGCAGCTCAGGGTCATTAATTGTGAGAGACTGACTGTCTCATCCCCTTACGGGCTGCTTAATGAGCTCTATCTTTCCGCATAGATATTAAGACAATGAGCTAGAGGAAAAAAAAAAAAAAAAAAAAAAAAAAACAAGGTTAAAAAAAGGATTTTTTTTTTTTTTTTCAGGAACTTGAGCAAATGTGTAACTTGGTGAACAAAAGGTAAGGGCGCAAACGAGCTGGTGGTGGTTAAACATTTCGACAAAAACCCCGAGACTGGGACAAAAAGGGACGTGTTTGTCCGTCCCTTTTTGTCCCAGTCTCGGGGTTTTTGTCGAAATGTGTAACTTAGTCTTTTTGACAACTAAATTCGGCAACACCGCGCCCTTGACGCCTTCGACGATTGATGGAGATCTCAAGGATAGCGCTCCACTGGCATAAAGAAAAATCTCGCCTCCCTAAGTTAAATTTGACACAGATGTTTCTAAATACAAGACTATGGCAGAAAAATAAGAATAGAAGAAACACACCTTGAAACTGACAAAATCTCCGTTGTGATGAACGGTCGTGTGAGATGGCTCTTTTTATGTATTATACTTCTCGGAAACCTACTCTCAGCGGTTTATATAACGAACGTAAAACATTAGACTAGCTTATCCCCTTTAAAAACCTTTATTAAAAAAAAAATAAATACAATCTAAAAGCCAGTAACTGAGAGACATGTAGGTGAAACGCACACTGCGCGCATGGTTAAGGTCGATACGCTTTTTGACATGTCGAAAGCCCAGCCTCCCGTTCGATCGACTTCATCAAATTCTGGTTCCGCCTTCGATAAAACGGATCTCTGGCGACACAGTGGGCGTACGAGCGAGATCTAGGGCGCCGGCGACTTGAAACAGGGTTTTGAAAGGACAGCTGTCGTGACCACAATGGGCAATGCGGCACGATCTCTCAAAGTCGGTTTGCCTGCGCCCAGCTAGACGGGAGGAACACAACCGAAATGCAGCGCCCCGGGTTTGACGTGGAAGGGGTTCAGACTCACGTTTTACACTGCCGAACGGTCATAGAACCACTTCTTGAAGACGGTGCCGCCGATAGCAAGCCGCAGAGGAGCGACGACGTTCATCCCAAGTTTTCGCCATGAAGCACTCACGACCGCGATCGCGTTCGCCCGACTTTGGCTCTTGTCATAGTCGACGCCTAGGGGTTTTTGTTCCTTCGTAAGCGGGATTTGACAGAGGCCTGCGGCTCAGTTGCACTTTTTACGCTCTTGTTTTTCCTCCGATTGGAGGCTCGAAATGAAAACGAACCGAAGAGCACACGAGAAGACGCTGGATGACACACGGGCACACACGGACTGTAATAAACGATATTAACGCCAGAACGGACCGGTGCTGCCACTTTGTGGCGGAAAACTACACTAATGCAGTGTTGCCAGATGGAGAAAAAAAAAAGTCAGCAGATTGATCCCCAAAAAGTCAGTAGATTTGCACAAAAATCAGTAGATTCCACGAAATATGTGTTTTGCCATGTTTTGCTATCTCCATTAATACACACTTCGAAGAAATAGTATAGAGTAACAAATAGCATGGTAATAAACACAAGTAAAAATGAAAAAAAAAAAACAAGACCAGTTCTCGAGTAACTTTATATGAAGGACAAATTAAAATGGCTCCATAAATGTTTTTGTTTTAGTCATTATTGACTGTTTCGAGGATTATTCTTTGAAATCAAGACTGAGGGCACTTTTGGGATCACAGATGAAGGCGACAGTGCGACGTTCACCTGTCGCTATTATTGAAACGAAACCGAAACAAGACGCTCCGGCAAGTACGCGCGAACATGTCCAATGGAAGTCCTCTGCATGCTGCCATCTTTCCTTACTGGGCTGTGGAAGGTTTTTGAAGCAACGCTGTTGGTCCGGAGCACTGTTGAGGCTACGCGTCTTCTGCTACGGGCTTATTTCTTTTTTGCCTGACCCAAAGTTTGCGTTCAAACGTGGAGAAACTTCATTCGTTAGCTTTTTAAGCTACCGAGGAATAGGATTATATCATTTTCTTGCCACAGCCTGCCAAATAAAAGAAAATAACTGGAATTTGGATGTCGATCCCATGCATTCCGCCGAACGAATGCATGAAAATTGCGGCTCTCTCCGCTCAACTCGAAGCTATTCTAGTAGATTGTTTAGGAGCAGCCGAGAGTTCAGGCGCATGCGCAAACACCTCTCGCTCTGCGCCGCGGGCTGATTGGCTCACTCGGGAGAGGGACGTTACGACACGATCATAGGCTAGCCAAACTCTCTCCATATATGACTCTGGCCCGGTTGTCACCGTAGAACCTGCCCAACCTGCTCTGGGTGAATAGATGGATGAATATACGGCTACGTCACTCGAATAGGACGGGCTTCTGGGCCATCTAGCCAGTGCTTCATTTTTAATTCTGGGACATTATGAGTTTCCTTTGATGGGCGACACTGGAAACTGAAGGGGACATATAATAAATTTTTAATATGTTTACTAAAAAAAAGTCAGTAGATTTTCTTGTTTTTCAGTGAATCAGTAGACCCGGAACGAAATCAGTAGATCTACTGATAAATCAGTAGACCTGGCAACACTGCACTAATGCAGCATTAGCATTACTGACCGGATGGATAACGTAAATTGCTAACTTAGTGAATGGATAACTGAATACCCCCAAAACTACCTAAACCCTCTGGACTAGGCGGCAGCTAGCGCCACCTAGGTAGTACTGTTTGTAATTTAAAAAATAAAATCTAAAAGGTGTTGTATGACGAAAACCCCGAAACTCGTAAAATCAGCAAAGGTCCAGGCTGTGACTTGCGTTGAAAAAGTAAGCGGTCAGCTAGAATAAAGGGACGAAACCGTTTACTCTTGCATTATGTACCAACTAGCTCAATTTCAGCCTGTTACTGCGTTGAAGTATGGTCTCTACGACAGACCGAGGCTTAAAATGCTGAACAAGGTGTTTAAAACAGAGAAGACAGAATATCAAATAGATCAGTCAGGGCCACACAATGCCCAAGACTATTTGCATTCTAATGTGCGGCACTTTAATTATTTTACCTCCACTGCAGAAAGGCAAGTATCCTATACCATGAAGGACCGCGGCGACGCATGTTACTATGAAGTAACATCATTGTATGGATGGCAGAGAAGTGGTGAACTACGGCCAAAAGTTTCGAGCATACATACTATGCGCAATACATCTAATGCATATCTTGCTCAGGTAGGCCATAAACATCAATATTTACTGCCACACTGGCGGTACTTTTAAACAGACCTCCAGTATTGCAAGGCGGCTGTGCTACAGCTTCATTTTTTGCCAGCATCACAACCATCTCAATCATTAAACTATTAGTAATTGCGGGACAAAGTTGAAGAGTGACACAAAATGGCTGCTCAATAGTGGCCACACAATCTAAAAACATGCTCCAATCCAACCATATCAAATGTTTATTTACGACAGTATCCAAAAAAAGGCAGGCAGTCAGCAAAAGCTCAACAAAAACAAACAAACAATACAAATGAAGAACAAGTTAGAACTGTAAAGGCCAAAGGGGTATTTACAGATTACCAAAAAATAAATTAACAAAAACGCAACCACTCATCTTGTGTATATATCTACAGAAGAAAAAAAAAATCATTGTCAAATCTGTGTGATCCACAAGTTTATGACCGTCTTCTGGGTCTCTCAAACATCCTTTTTACACATTGTTGCGATTAAGCACTGTCCTGATTGGTTCATTGCTACATAAAAAGAAACAAACCCTGTTCCTTTAACGCTGTTTGAAAAAACACTGGATACAAGACCCAACCGAATAGACCATCTCAAACCGACAAGGACCAATCACACACGACCCTGGCATACAGGCGTAGAAATTGCTGAAAAGGCCGCTCTTTTAATTTGGCTCGCTCGCAAACGAGAATGATGCCGGACTCCAGTGTGCAAAGTCAGTTCGTTGGGGGGCGTTAGAAGACGACACGTGGGAAGTCGCCCAGACCGCCACCCATGCCGCCTCCGCAGCCTCCCGAGGGCGGAGAGGGACCGCCTTCGGAGAAGTCCCCGTTGTGATTGGTCCGACTGTATGAAAATCGTGCACGCTTGCTCTTGGCCTCTTGTTCCTGCAACAACCCAGGTGTAAATTAAACAACAAAAAAAAAAAATTCTAACCTGTTATGCTAAAAAAGAACAACTAAAAGCACCACTGAAAATGACAAAAACTGTAGACTTTGCCACGTGACACAGCTGCACTGCAGTGAGGCGGTGGTGCATGCCTATGAATAGTGATGGAGCAGACTTTGTACGAAACACGTGTTTCGGAAAGTTTGAAAAGAGCAGACAGACCTCGGGTGTTTAGAATAAGTTTGGATAGTTTTGGAATGCTTCCAGTGCAAGAAATGAGAAACCCCACAGACTGCTTGCAATACTAATACAAAATTTTTATAAATATACTTCATTTAAGAAAATAAGCTTCCTTTAGTTACCTCCTGGCATTCTGGAAACTGCTAAAATTTTCTCGCAAAATGTTAAAGAATTTTTGAAACGGCTCGAAACTCGACCTTTTATGTTTCATCCCATCGCTAGTAATAACCAAACAGCTTTCCCGCAGCGCAGCCACGTTACGAGGCAAAGCACCGCTCGATGAATGTTTTCAGTTAGTGCACATATTAAAAGTTATTTTTCTCAATGCACTAGTCTCCTAACTAGCTACGTCATAATAAGAGTAGTCTTATAATAAAGTCAAAACTGGGGAATACTAGGCACAGGGAAGAAGCATGACAGCTCTGCAGAGTAGGACAAGTCCTGCAAAAAAGCCCGTGTGATAAACAAACTAAATATAACAATTTTTTTAGAGCGAAGGTCGGATTTCTGGAATTTTTTCGTGTGGTTGTCCTCACGGAAAAATCTTCTACAGCGATTGAAGCAAGTGCATATCAGACATACAACATGCAGCACAGCATTTGTTTCAATAAAGAACAAGCACCAAACAAGCATCCAAACCAGACAATTGGTGACAAGGCACTCTGATAACAACGCGAAGCACGTAGCGCTCACAAAATACTTTTCCTAGTAAAGATTACTGTTGCATTTTTGTTTTACAAATCAACCTGATTATCGAGAAGACATAGACATAACGAGCACGAATATGCGGTGCTAAAAACAGAGCATTAAAAATAAAACAAAGACCGAAAGTGGCACGCCAACGTCTGCCAAACTCACCTCCAAGTACTTGGTGTTGTCGAGCTCGACGAGGCTCCTGAGGGAAACATGGACGTCGTCGGACGTCGGGGCCGCCTCCTGATAGGCCAGGGACGAGTTGACGTGCTTGTAGAAGAGCACGTAGGCGGTGTCCTTGGGGAAACGGCGGGTCAGCGTCTCGAAGGTAGCGTAGGAGGCGTTGGAGACCCGGCTGTCGTTGAACAGGTACCACTTCTTCGACAGGGGATCGAGGTCGCTGGTGCTCGCCCGGTAGGCGGACTTCCGCGGGGACAGCGATTCCTGAGGCAGAAAGATACGTCCGTCTCGATGAGGGACGGCGTTGCTCTGGTCCCCGACGGCGGGACACCAAGCGCCTGTCGCCCGCGACGTGACACGTCGTGTGTCACGTTGTTGATTAACGCCGTGACACTGTGCTGGTTACAACACGACTAATTGCTGACCGGTCGCATGACGTGCCCTGCCACGGGGTGTGCGCGATTACACAAACAAACAAATTTCTGGGAGCAGGAGATTCTGTTGCGAAGCTTTCCATGCTTTAATACGGCTGTGACGCTGCGCCCCAAAGAAAGGAGTGCTGTGGGGCGTAATGGGGACGTACGTTGTTCCGGGGAATATGGCTTAAAGAGTCGCGTCGAAATTGCTTCAGCATGCAGCGGCACAACGGGGGTTCTGAAGGCGGACTGACGTGCCCCCCCCCCCCCCTGCCACTTCCCTACCAAAACTCGAACCCTGCTTTTTAGTTTCGTGAGTAGCGAGTTTTCTCGAGGTAAGAATTCTGATAGTACTACTAATGTAACAATGTCCTGCAGACACAAAAAACTAGGAGTTTCAAGGGTGACTTTAATCTAACGAACTACTGCCCTGTTGTAAACCATTAGTTGGAGTTTCTATCTTGAAAACTTTGCCCAAACCAGCACAAAAGCAAGCTAAAAAAATATAGTTTTAAGGTTTTAAAGTGTGGAACTACTGAAAAAGCAACATGCCACAAGGCCAAGCAAATTAAAAAAGTTTGTCTGGCTTAAACATTTTGTCAAGCGCAACGAAGGAGTGCTTGACGGGGTTTAAAACTAGCAAAACTTTGTATTGAAATTTAGCAGAGGTAGTATTTCCATGCTAATTTAGGGAGGAATCACTGGCATTAACAGCTTTGCTTCGCAAACATAGTCCGTGGAGCATTTCGACACAGAGTCACCGCCTTAACACGAGCTTGTGGTCATCAACATCCGTGATGCTTGCGTGTTTCGGCAAGTGCATTTCGCTCGCTTGTCGAGGCAACAGACATCGTGCCCGCCTCCCGGACTTCAAGCATGCAGACTCCAGAACTGTCTACAGGAGTCACGGCTGTCCAGATAGGCAAGCCTACGAGCTCTATGGGGAAACAAACCCTTTCCAAAACTCTGTCAAGCAACCTTGGCGGTCACCCTTTCTTGGGCCCGAAGTGTGCGATTGGATCCGAGTCCTTGCCGAATGCCAACGGGGGGCTCGTTTTTAATGCGAGCAGGGCCGAGCTTACGTTGAACGGCAGCGCAACCCACGTGTCCAACACATGCTCTAAGTATGCACTCAAACAATGGCGGACTCGGATGACTTGCACAGCAGCTGCTAGACGGCGCACACTTTCGAAAAAGCTGTACGGCGCCGCTTCCTCACCTGGCTGGAGTGTCGCGCGTAAGTGTAGTAGTGGCCCCGATCCGCCGAAGTCCCCGAGTGGACCACCACGGCGTAGAGGGCGTAGGCCGCCCTTTCCGCCAAGCCACAGTTTTCGGGTAGCACCAGGAGTTTGGGGTAGGCCACGTTGTGCAGAATCTTCGAGCGCGTCCGCGTGGCGTTGTCGTACGAGAAACGCATCAGGGTCAGGATGAGGTGTCTGGGAGGTTCGGCGAGCGCCACCGTTCGCCGGGCGTCCCTCAGTGCGCCGCAGGCATTGCAGTGGTACCTGGGTGAATGGCTAGTCAATCGATCGGCCAAACAGCTGCGCCGTTAGTCTATGATGGGCACATGAACCGACATGCCGTGCACCAATAACCCCGACGATGAAACAGCTAGTGTGGGTGACAACCAAGGTGAAAATCGGTCTACCAACAATTGGAGTATGCAACTGGTCCCAGCTGGATCCAACTGGAAATGAGACAATCCAGCTGGCTCCGGCTAAGACCAGTTTCACGATCCGGCTGTAACTGGACTGATTTTTAAAGAAATAACTTTACGGGTCACACTTTTTCGGGGATTTCGGTGTTTGCATTTATTGTTGTTTGCCGTCGCAGCGGAGATGAAAAACCCTTCTCATCCCTCATTGCGCGAGGAGAGAAGTCACGTGTTGCCATTGTCTGCGCTGCGCAAAGAGGGAAGAGCCCCAACGACCGCCAATAATGGTGCGACAACGAGAAAGCGTCAGCACAGCATCTTCCTCATCCCCTGCTAACAATAACTTCAAGACAGATGTTTTCAAACATTACTCACATTATATGAACTCCTACTTTGGCAGTATCTAGTTGCTACGCTAATGTTGAAGGGTTTTAGAAACTTGCACTGCATTCTATTTGACTATAACTATAACGCCCCTACTTCTCGAGCCCAACTTGAAACATAAAGTACGGTCTGCCAAAACCTGTTACTTTGCAGCCGTATTCCCTGTTAGAGCTTCACCTCGTTTACCTGCATGCGCCCTCTCTTCGCTCAATGCTTAACGCCAACACTACCTCCCCCTTTCTTCACTACTCAACAACACTGTGAAAACCTGTGCCTCCTTTGCGTTGTCACTGCAGAACACTCTCCCTAATGGAGGCGCTGCACCAAGGCCACACTTCGTCCCAGGGGTGAGCAAGGAGGGAACGGCTAGCCTCCGCAGCTTGCAACCGGCGTCGCGCCTCCGCTGGCCATCAACGAGATGCCGCCTGTGCTGCCCATACGCGGCGACGTGAGGATTCGAGTTACAACAGCGCAAAACAGAGGTGCTTGCAAGGCGACATTGACATGTGCATCCAGTGTTTCACCTTGCCCACTTACTTTACTGATCACAAAGCAATTGTGGCAGTTGTTGGTGTCATTCAGAACGCCAACCATGACGGGAATGTACATTAACAACTCCGCACCTTTGTCCTCAGGTACGTGACGACACCGTTTTGCCTGCATTGAGCGAACGTGCTAAAGCTATCGCCTTTACTTTTTCGCACATTGTGGGCAAAAAAGACACCGCAAATGAAATAAGTGCATACCCAATCCAATTAATCAATCAGTAAGCCAGGACCTATTCAATAATAGAACTAAGTAACAAGTCAATAATCAATCATTTAGTAAGAAACGACCATCCCCATAATCAATAAGACGTCCTACACCAAATTCATATCCAATCCCATAAAAAAGAAATGTGTCACCAATCAACGAGCCAGAACCAACTCAGCAGAAAACCCAAGTGACAAACACATAAACCAATCAACCAATCAATCATAAAGCAATAAAATCAATCGGTACGGCGCTCCTCACTTGTTGTCTCCCTCCATGCTCTCCGGCTCAAAGTAACTCTCCAGCAGGTCCTCCACCGAGAGCGGCCTCGGTGGCGCCGCCGCCTCCTCGCCACCGCCCTCCTTGCTCGCCAGCCTCCTCTGACCCGACTTGGCGTCCGCGCCGCCGCCGTCCTTGGTCACCGACCCCTCCGGAAACGCCAGGTGGAGGTCCATGATGGCTTCCTCGTTGACGCTGTCGCGACCGCATGTCAGGCAGTGGTACGTCGTCTTCACTGAACCCCCGAACACCTCCTCGACGAGAGTCCGACCGGCGGCGGCGGAGGCGCCGCCACTTTTGGGGTCAGCGGCGGGCCGCCACAAACGGTGAGCCCTGTGCTCTTCATGCAGAGAGTCGACGAGGAACCTCAGGAACTCCGAGCAGTCCTGTTGCTCGCCCCACTCGAACCACGACGGCCTCGACTTGCTCAGGAAGCTCTCGGGAGACACGGCGGGGCGCTGCACGTGAGGCACGGTCAAATTTTTTTAAGGTCGCGTGTCGTTTATGGGGTTGGCTCTTAAGCTGCAGTTAAACTGCTCGTACAGCGTTCAAGAGGCACGGCATTCGCTGCCGGCACAATGACGGAAGGATCTGCAACTATGTCTCAAGCGTGTTCGAAGCATGTCTGCTTCGTGCTTCGAACATGTCTGCAGACGGCTTTTGTCCGACCAATGTGACAGGGCTGTCACGCAAGAAACGGGTGGAAGCGCTGCGCCAATTGTGCTATTGCGCACCAATCCACTTTCTTTGCGCCATCCTGCTTCTAAATGCAAATGTTGCGCCGAAACTAGCCAGAAAAAAAAAATTTTAACCTATATTTATTGGAGTATTCTTTACTGGCCACGGTGGTTTACTGTGTTATGTTCGTATAGATAATTCTGGAGCTATGTTATGGTACCACCATATGGATGTGGTTGTGTCAACAGCGTGTAGGTGTTCGATCTCCGAAAACGGGACACGCATAGGTGGCTTTGTCAGAGGTACTGAGGCATCAGTTCGTCCTTTACTTACTTTTTTTTTTTTTTTTTTTTTTTTTACAGTGGCGTTGAGCACGGCTGCATATGTTCGAAATACCGCATGCATTAAATCGCATTAAATTTGTAGCGTCCACAATCTGCGGGGTATCCGTTGCCGTGACATGCAAATTCCTAACTTGTTTCCGCATTTTAATATTTATTTTTTCTACGATCTACGCGTGAGGTAACAGTTCCCGTGACACCTGAGTTTGTAGCGGGCTCTTCCATGGTAGTATATTGCACTGTGAAGCGCGAATGCGCTTCATCCACGTTCTGCTGCTGTATCCATGACAAGGGAGTTCATAGCGAATTCCCGCATACTTATCGCACTGTGGAACGCGAATTTGCCATGTCAGATCTGTGGTATCAATAATGAAAAGAAAGCAAGTGTGCAGGCGAGCTGGTGAGGGAAAAAATAGAAGACATTGAAGTCTAAGAGTTCTCGTTTCACGTTACTTGTAGTGTCCACCCCCCCCCCCCCCCCACACACACACACACACACACACAAACAATTTATCTTTTGATTTTGGATGGGTGTTTTTTCAGGACTCTTTTGCATATAAACATAACTAAGCCTGCTGGCATATGTTCACCTATCATCTGATCTTTGGGGAAAGCGATAACTACTCTTAAAAAAATTAAACAAACATTTAGATTTTTTTTTTTTTTTCCGCATGCTTAGGGTGTTTTTTGTTTGTTTTTTCCCCCGAGACCGTTTTTGTGCTCATCCGTGTCATAAACGTAACAATAACTCTCCGACAAGGGCTTAATTCCTACACGATGCACCTCTCTTAAAATGAAAATAGCACTACCCCGTGTGTTAGCGACAAAGACAAGACGAAGGAAAAACGGAACCAGACAGCTTTGTTCGTTTCAACAAATGTGCGTCTGCCTACCTGCGACAACATCAGGAAAGCGAAAAGTTCCTGTAGCCTCTTCAAGTTTGTTCCTGCTGGAATGCTGTTGGTTTGGAGAAGCTCGTTTCGTAACCTGAAAGAGCAGACAAGAGCATGTCTTGCAGAAAACAGTTTTGGCAGCGAGGAGAGCTGCAGCCTGCAACGTTACTACATCTCCGCAGATTTTTTGGGTCACCTTCAAAGCAGGTTTTTAAAGTTCTAGCCCACGAGTCTCAGGTTAAACCCACAGCCCGGGCGATGCCGAAATTGGGCAGTCAGATCTAGCGCCGGTCAGGACGCACCGCTGGTCGCAAACAGACTGCACACTTGAGCAAACGTAATGTCCGTCGCCTGCAAACCCAGTCGTGTTTGCATACCCAAAACTACAAACTCCACACATATTACCATGATATAAGTAGGGTTCCGCGTTTTCGGTTTTTATTTTTTCAAAATTCGGCGTACTTTTTTTGGTGTTTATTTTAAGATTAAATTTTAGTTTTTTTTTCGGTGTATATTTATGCCCACAAAAGTTTACCGTTTTTTTTTTTGGTGAATATGAAATAAACACACACTGTCGGACACCGAATCGGATGATCCTTGTAAGTTTGATATTCGTGATCCCTCAAGGAATAACGGCACAAATACATTGAAAAAAAACAGAAAAACATTGACACTTTATGTGGGAAATGTGTGTCACTGTAAAACAAAAACACAGAAGTAAAAACAAGTCAGTGCCCCAAAAACATGGAACCTCACCTTCTGTACATCAGGATTACGTGATAGTTTATATACCGTAAAATACCGCGTAATCGCCCCCCCTCGTGTAAGCGCCCCCTCCCTTTTTCCGCACATTTCGCATTTCCGTAAACTACCAAGTAAGCGCCCCCCCCCCCCCTCCCCCTCCCCCCTTTTTCCGCTGCCGGTGGCCCCGAAAAAAGTTTCGTTCTGGAAGTTTTGTTTTTATGTGTAGCCAGGGATCCAATCCAATCCAAAAGTAAACGTGAACCACGTGAACCTTTTGTTCGCCTTTTTGTTGTTTGACGGCGCCGGAACCAGTCGCGTTACTGCGTGCACTATGCACTCGTACACTGTGCAAAAGAAGATAGAGGTCGTCCAGTGGCACAGGCTGAATGGCAAGAACGTGCATTGGACATCGCGTCAGTTCAAGCTTGATCGCAAGAGAATCCGCGAATGGGACAAGGAGTATGAAGTGCTTCTTCAAGAGAACTTCGGAAAGTCGAAGTTACGACGCAAGTTGGGAAACGGAGCCCCCGTTTTCAGCGAGAAAGTGGACGACGCGCTTTTTGAATTTTTTTGAGTGCGAAAGAAGTGCTGGACTTCTTTGTCAGCGATGTCAGCGATCGGCTCGCTGACATCGGCGTTGTGGTCCCGGAAGACCGCGACGAGCTGAGGGATGAGTGTGCGGACCTGCTTTTTGGGTCAGATTCTGAGGAATCCTTCGATGGTTTCGACAGCGAATAAAAGGATAAAGTTCGCAAGGAAACTGTCTACGGAAATCATTTTTGCTAAGACTGCAGTCTAGATTGCGTACTTTTAGTGGCTGCCATTTTCTTTATCCGCCATCTTGAATATTGGTGCGGAACCAAGGAAGGGCCCCCCCATATTTTGGTTGAATTATCTCTTGAGTTGGGGGGGGCGCTTTCTCGGTATTTTACGGTAGTAAACACATATGTACTTTCTCAGGTTCTCGTTGACCCACGCTCATTCTTCCCTGTTAACGCTGGGCTTCGAAAATGCCCTCTTAACGTTAACACTGGACACTGGCAGGCTGAGGAGATAAAGCACTGCCTGATCCAAAATCGGCCAATCAACCAAATGTGACTATCAAAAGAGACACGGTGCGACGTTTTGAAGCACAACATATTTTGTGTACTCACTAAATTCTGGCTGCAGATCTTGCATGAAGCTAAAAACCTTATACAAGCCCACACCCGATCACAAAAAGGACACAGATGTCCTGCGAAGGACGACCCAAGATCTCTTTTTGCATGTTGAACCTTGGAAGGGGTTGATCACGAAGAGGTCACACAATGTCCAACCTTGCAACGCCTTCTCTCTCCTCACCCGCCCCCCCCCCCCTCCACCCTCCCCACGCCCATTTCGACACGACCCTAAAAAACTGACCATTTTCGGTTAAAACAGAATTTTAGAGAATGGATTCGGCTTACTTTTATCGGGTTAAACCGAAAACGCCGAACCTAAAAACTGACCTTTTTCGGTTAAAACCAAATTTCCAAAAATAGATTCGGCGTACTTTTATCGGTTTAAACCGAAAACTCCGAACCCTAGATATAAGGCACGCGTAGTATTTTACGGCGTTCCGAAATCTTTTTTTAATTTAGATGCGTTTCTGAGCTTCGGTTTTCATCGGAATGCATCTTTGCATCAACAATCCCGCCCCCGTGGCCAAAAACGTAACGCATCGTACGTAAAGGCACATCTTCACGCTGGTACCGACGTCAAAAAGGAAAAATCGTGTTGCAGTCCGGAGGCTTTCTTATCTAGCCTCTTCTACGTACGATGCCTGGCGGCGTACATAGGTTGCGCGTTTTGGCCGCGGGGAGCCGGACTACTGGCGCAAAGATGCGCTCCGATAAGAGACCGAAACCTAGAAATGCATCCAAATTAAAAGTTTTTTTCGGAACACCGTAAAATGCTAACCTCTGGCACAAACCACTACGGCAGCAACCTTTTTTTTTGCGCAAAGCATAGTTTTCGCAGGAGCAATTCGGTCCACCTTTCCGAAAACACCCGGTATTTAAACTTAACACATGTAACGCCCTGAGCACATCACTCACTCCCAACGCTTACTATGACCCTAGTTCATGATTTTCTCATAGAAAACTACCCATAAAACACATTCTGTGTTTAGGGGGGATGCAAGTCGAAAACCGGCAATATTTTACAAAAAATATGTACAGGGTGCGGCCGTAAAAACTTTCACATTTGGCACGCCTAGCAAAAATCGAATTTTAAACGTACATACCTGAAAGTGGGCACACGAACGTCGTTTATTCCAAAGTTTTCTGCCTATTTTTTTCAGACGTCACCTCGGGAGTAGCGAATTATTAGAAAGATAACAAAAATGGCAGACGTGCATTTCCTATGGCCTATACTCGCCCGTTCGCCGTCTGCTATCTGGTTCGCGACGCCGCTCCCAGGTGGCGCACTGAACGGAAAAAGCGCGGGAGACGCCGCACGAAACGCTGTTGTCGGGCGAGATAATCGCGATAAAAAGTGTTTTTACCGAAATATGTGAACGATTATGCCCTCTTACTTGAAATTTAGAAACTGGCGGACGCCCTCGTTTAATAAAAATATCTTCCAAAGCAGACGAACGTGTGTCATCCTTTGTCGTCTGCTTATCTGTCGACGGGTTCGTTCCCGGTGAAAGCTCAACTTTGGAATCAAGAGTGCCGCTGCTGAGGCATCTTGATTGTTCCTATTTATTGTTTTTGTTGCACTATCTTCTGCAGTTAATATCAAAAGATTTTCCGCGCCGCCCTGTGATGCCGCAATACTCGGCAAGTGAGTGTGCCCAGGCAGTCAAGTGGTACGTGGAGCGGAACTCGGTGACCACAGCACAACGGAACTTTCGCACTGCATTTCATAAACGCCCGCCTTTACGCCTGACTATTTTGACTTGGGCGGATCGTTTTGTGAGTGGAGAAGACTTTAAAAAGAAGAATACAGTCAGTGAACGTGAGAGCCTGCTGAAAAATGAGGAGCTCATTGAAGCGGTGCTTGCTGTCTTTGAGAGCGACCCGCAATTGTCAACAAGACGAGCAGCCAGGTTGTTTGGAATTTCGGAAAAAAGCGTACGACGGATCCTTCAGAAAAATAATTTGCGCCCGTACAAGATGCAAGTTGTCAAAGCTCTGCACGACGGCGACAACGTCCGACCTTTAGAATTTTGCAAGGCGGAGTTGTTGCGAATTAAGAGCAACCCGGGGCACCTGCAATTTCTTTTATTTAGAGACGAAGAAAACTTTCACCTAGATGGACGTGTGAACCGCCAGAACAGCAGGATATGGGCTCGCGATAACCTTCATGCCGTGGACGAAAGGCATCTCCATTCACCGAAGGTGACAGTGTGGAGTGGGATTTGGCGTGAAGGCATAGTGGGTCCCTCTTTTTTCGATGGCACCGTTAAAGCAGATGTCTACTTGGACATGCTGAAAACGGAAACGCTCCCTGAGCTTGAAAGCTGCCACATGACAAAAAACTGTATATTCATGCAGGATGGGGCGGCTCCCCATTACGCAAAGAGTGTGAGGGCATGGCTCAATAACACGTTCCCTTGGCGGTGGTTGGGTCGGGGATCAGATTATATGGACTGGCCTCCACGATCCCCCGACTTAAATATGTGCGACTTTTTTCGTATGGGGATTTATAAAAGGGCTTGTCTCCAAGAAGAGGATCCCCAGCATCGAAGAGCTGAAAGAAAAAATTGAGGGCGCGTTCCTCGAGATCGACGATGGGATGCGCGAAAGGGCTTTCCTGGCGTACGAAGCTCGACTTCGGCTTTGCGTGTCTGTAAACGGCGGGCACATCGAATCGGCCGAACCCTAGTCGTTTAAAGGGCCGCTGCAGCATCAAAATTATTTCAAATCGCCGTGACAGAAGAGGCGTATCAGTTTCCCTCCTACTTTCTCTCGTGCTGCTTGCCGCACTCGGAGAGCAAAGTAGAGGCTGCTGATAGAGGTACCAATGGGAAACCAGCAAAAAGACGACTATTTCTCTCAAATACCAGCCATTTTATCACCGGACCACCGAAATGACTCCAGCGCCGTAAATATTGCTCCAATTAATATGATTTCTTTTCTTTCTTACAAATATGTCTTACGACATATGTGATAATTATACCCAAGCTGTATGAAAAATAATTACTTTATGTGTTACAGTGGCCCTGTAAAAATCAGAATAAAATGATAACTCAAAACGAACTTGTCTGCAACGGCAGCAGCACCACTTCCTATTCCAGGCTGTAAATAAATGATCTCGTCGCATCATGGTGTCTTCTTGCTTGCATGACGACCTGTCAAAACTTGACTTGAAACAGGTAATTTCAAC